TGATTATTTTTTGGTTAATTGAAATTCAATTTCTTGTTATTGTGTTGAAAAAAAATAGAAATTACCAATTAGGATTGTTAAATTAGGGACTTAGGGTTAATAATTAGTGATTATTTGTTGTGGAAGAAATGAAGAGGTGAACTTTAAAATGCAACTTTGTTATTGTATATTACACAAGTTTAACTTTATATCTAATGAAATTGCGGTTTTTTTTTCTTATTGTATATTACACAATTTTTCTTCGGGATACCCCTTTACTAAAACTCTGGCTCCGCCATTGAAGTCGTGGCAATTTCTATTTTTAAAGCTAACAAATGTTTTTAGTGGCTCACAAAATACTAATAAATCCAAAAGATAAGCTAGTTTATTAGGGTATAGAAAATTCTTTCCTCCAACTTACAACCCATAAAAACTATATATTTTTCAATACACTTAACACATTTGTCACGTCATTAATTTTATTTAATTAAATTAGAAAATATTAAATAAAATAAAAAATATAACATTTTTTTCTTTAAAAATAAACCTTTCCTAATTTAAAACAAAAAAATCTAAAATAACATTGAAAACACGGTCACCGGTGTACCAACCCACTGCAGTGGAATAATTGAAGGAGCCTGCTAGACCTGCCTTTGACGGAATCATAACCCGGTGGTACCGTACCACCGGTACCGCCCTAACCCATCAGCGACCCACTTGATGACTCTGTCACCCTTAGCACCAAATACAACATAGATGATGAAGTTATATATGTTATGAAAGAGACGTACTGACATATAGTTTTATTATTATTATTATTATTATTATTTGAAATGAAAAACAAAATAGATTAAAAATTTTGGTCTTCTATAAAAACGAAATATCAAAAGGTCGCTTTTTCATAAAAGTTGGATTTTCTTTTTTTATTCTTTATTGTTTATGGTTTAGTCTCGTTCTTTTTACCTTGATGAAAATTGAGAAGTAGCCAGGCTAGTTTGAGAATGATGATTTACGTTTTTTTCTCATAGTTTACGTTTTCTTTTCAAATGCTCTATAGAAAATGACATTTGTCATTTTCTCATCATATTTTTTTTTTTTTAAAGTATTGAGGTTGATTATAAGTTAAGCAAATCATTTATTTGATCTCTAATTTTTAGGAGAAATTTAAATTCGTCTTGAATAAGTTTCAGTTATGATTGTCAATAATTAATTGTATTTCTTTATTTAAAATCCTACAAAATCATATTTAATTAATAATTTATTGAAAATAATTGATTAATAACTATGGGTTTTATTATAAAAAATTAATTATTTTTGTAACCGTGGTTCCCACAGACTATAAGCTAGTTAAACGAATATACTTATGTTGCACATATTAAACTAGGTGTAACACTCATGTATTACATGAGTTAATTAAAAAAAATTGAATATAAGGTCTAAATATTTAAGAACTTTGGATTTATAAGAAAATAAGAAAAATAATGGATTATTAAAATTGATTACTTTTTATCTTTTAAATTTAAATAAATAAACAAAATAAACTAATGAATATTAATTTGGGAATTTTGAAATAAAAAGATAAGTCCATTAATGAAATTGATATTCATTTATTACTACATTTATTGTAATTATTACATTAAAGTATTATATGGAATTTATTAAAATAGAAAAACTCATAAAATGACATGTGGAAAAGAAATTAATTCAAAATAACCACAAAATGACATTTGACAAATTAAATAAGAGTGTGACATGTGACAAAAAAAACATTCATTTATTAGAGTAGATTATATAACTATATTTCTAATAAATATGTTGTTGATAACTATTAAAATAAAAATCATGTTATTAAATTGATATATAAAATTGCAACAACTTTTAACAATATTATTCATTTCCCGTAGCCTTGCGTTTAAATTGTTCCTTTTATGTTTATTGTTCGGACAATACACATTTTTAATCGAGTAATTTGGGACACCTCTTGACTCTTGGTCCATATTCCAAAGTTATGATCAAAATAATTGAAGGTTATGATGATTTATGACATTTTTCTAAATAACTAGGGGAAAAAAGAGGCGGGCATCTTATTTCACAAGAATTGGGGGCATTTTAGAGATAACCTAATGTCAAGCCCTTCCCCTTCCCCCGTTCTCTCTCTATCTCATCATCTCGCCTCTCTCCTACCTTCATCCCACCTCCCGGCCATTAACACTCCCTAATGTTCGGCTCGTAGATGATGAATCGAAGAAACAACAGACTGACATTGTGATTTGGATCGACAGATCGATTATATTCCCTTCATGTCGTCTCAGTCGTCCAGCATCCCTTCGACGAATGATCTGCAATCGCAAACGACCTCTCATATGCCGGTAGCATTCGTCTTATTCGTCTTAATCAGAGAAGTAATTGAATTTGAGATCAACAAAATCCACGGGTGAGTATAGTTTCTATTTATCAATTCGCCTTGTTATTGTGCTATTTCACCGGATGATGATCATTGATCAATGTGTCTGATTTGTCGAATCAAAACCTAAACGTAAGGATTTTTTGGAACAATGTATTTGAGTTGGTGTTTTGATTGGATTTTCTGAGTTACAAGCGTTTGGACTCCTTCAGGGACGGATTTCTTTGATTCAAGATGAAGTATCTACAGTTGAATATGATTTGGAGGCACTTAAGGTGTTTGATTACACTTATTTAACTGCTCCAGATCACTCCGATTCCGTGATCCGTCGCCGCATAGAGAGACTTTATACAGTTCCAGTGATTGGCGAGATGTGAAAACGGCGATCAGAGCTGCGAATCCTTCTTCTCAGCATCGTGACCCACCATATTGTTTGAATAGCAACCTACCTCGCTTTTTGTTACAATCTAGACTCGAAATTAGTCTTCTAAGGTACATCTTAATGCCTCCTCTGTTTATATTCAATCAAATTTTGTTCATCATTAAGCCCAATGCCAAAGTGATAGGTTTTAGTTGATTATATAAGATGTTGATGGTGCTGGTGGCTTGTTTGTTGCTATAAAAGGTCATGCTCCTGAGGTACATGTTTAATTTTATTTACTCTCTGTTATTATATTTCAGTCTTCTAATGTGTATACATACTACACCAAAATATCCTCTTGCTTCATGGTAAATAACATCTATTTGATGTTCTTATGACTATAAGAGATTAGGAACTTATTAGAATGATGACTTTTATTTGGAATTGGTGATCATTGAGTTTTTTATTATAGAAATATAAGGTTCACTTTTAGAGTGGATTAAAGTATTAGGATATTAAAGTTTGTGTATATTTTACCATTAGTCCAGTAGTAGAATTAAAATAGCTAATATCATATTTGGGCCAGGGAAAATGTACATATTGTTGAAGAAAAATAAAATATTTTTCTTATAGGATTATAAAGTGAATATGCTTTTGATTGAGCAGTAGTCTATAAAGATGTACTTGATGTGTTTATGGTAAAATTACTTTACATGAATAACTAGTTGTTTATATTATTCTTTTTAACCACATTAAATTTCTTTTAATAAAACACAATCAGTGGCTTGGTTTTAACTTTTAATGATCTTTATATTGCAGGATGTTGTGAGCAGGAAAATAAGCTTGGACATGGTTGTGGATTTTGCTTTGGCACAATGATCATATTGGACATTTATTACACCTCATGATATAAGGTAAACTACTAAGCTCAAGTTTGTTTCTTTTTCGTTATTTACATACAAGAGAGTGTTTATAACATTTTATGACAAGTTCTGTAGTAAAGAAAAAAAAAAGAATAGTGTTGTAACATTTTATTTAATTACTGATATATATGTATATTTATTTACAGCATGATAAAACATGATAAAGAAGCAACAAATGGTCGTTCCTTGCTCATAAACAAAGGTTTGGTTTGGTTTGGTTTGCTTTTGTTAATGCATTATGGTGTACTTTATAAAAATGGTTTTTTATAAATAAAAAAAACTATTACATGTCACAAGTGAATCACATATGAATTACATGTGATTCAGATGAAAATCACATGTAATTCACATATGAATCACATATAATTCACATGTAAATCACAAGTGAATTATATATAAATTATATGTGAATCACATGTCACAAGTGAATCACATATGAATTACATGTGATTCATATTTAAATCACATGTAATTCACATATGAATCACATGTTATTCACATGTAAATCACATGTTATTCACATATGAATCATATATCATTCATATATGAATTACATGTGATTCACATGTAATTCACAATAATTCAAATACGAATTATATATGCTTCACATGTAAATTGTATGTAATTCACATATGAATTACATGTGATTCACATGTAAATCACATATGAATTACATGTGATTCACATGTAAATCACATATGTATTTTTGTGAGTGTTTTTGCATCAATAATTTTTTTTTTTTTTGTAGATTTGGAAGAAATTGTGGTGAATATTGAAGAGGTGAAAAATGATAAATTGAAGAAAATATGAAAATATTGACACGAAGACATGAAAACGCTTTGAAATTTTGTAGCATTTTTTTGTTTTTGATATTTTATATTGTATCAAATAAAATACTTATTGTATTGTGTTTATAGATTAGTAAATAGAATGAGTTTTCTTATGATTCCTTTACAAATATTATAATATATGAAATATGCATTTGTAAAAATATACATAAATGTACCAAAAATATGCATATATGCACCTAAAAAATGCAGTTTCTTTTTAAAAAATAGTGTCTTTTTGAAAAAATTACAGTTTTTTAAAAAAAATTGTAGCTTTTTTTGAAAAGTTTGCAGATTTTTTTTAAAAAAAATGCTGTTTTTTTAAAAAGAAAAGCAGTTTTTATTTTTTGTTTTTGAAAAAATTGCAGTTTTTTTGAGAAAAAAATGCAGTATTTTTTTTAAAAAAATGCAGTTGTTAGCAGGTAGCTAGTTTTTGAACTAGCCTTAATTTCATGGATTTTGACTTGAAACAAGTCCGTCCATATATGAGATGAGATGAGATTGTTATTTTTATTACTAAAAAATTCAGAAAAGCAAAAACGGAATTCACCCCTAGATTACACACACACACTTACACAGTATAGAAAGGACACATATCTAATCTAACAATGAGCTGAAGATGGTGAGATGTTATACACAGCCAAATATTGAGATGAAACGAGATATTAAGTTTCTATTTGCATGAGGAAGTTAACAAGAAGTAAACGTAACGTGAGCCTAGAGCCTAGAAAGAAACCCCTCTTCAATTTATGAACAAGGCTTACAAGTGTCATCCTTCTTCGTTTATACGGGCACCCTTTTGCCACGGTAGCGGTCCAAGAACTGTAAGCAATCAAAGATGATAATCAAATATGACCACAATAGGAGAATGAACCATCCTTTCAATTTTTTTTTTTTTCTTCTAATTTATTTAGGCGATAGGGTGGTTTGGCTTCTTTTTTCATTCCATCAATAAAAATAAAAAAATCATAATATAACCCACTTAATTTATTATGCTTCTTTTTTTTTATTGATTCATGATTTTTGTTATATTACAATCTTATATATATATATATATATATATATATATATATATATATATATATATATATATATATAAACTTTAGTGAATCAATTAGCTTTCCTTATATTTAAATTTGTAATTAAAAAAATTCATTGATTATAATCAAATAATTTATAAAGTAGAATTAAAAGTATAAAAATTTAGATGATTCATTCCATTCCTACAACTACAGACCAACCAAATATGATTGTGGAATGAGCAAAGCAAAGCTGACTCCATGTTGTAAAATGCAACTAGAGTAAGAATTGTGTTTTATTATTCAACTTCTAACAAATAAGATAAGGAATTAGGAATTAACATACCGATCTAATGGACGGATACTGAAACACCCAACCAATAACCGGTATTTTCTGCACAAAAACTGCTAGTGTGGGCCAGAAGCCACTGCATATAATTCCATCAAAACATTTATATGTATATCTGTGAATTGTTAAATGAAAATAACACCAACATACATGTGTGATGTGTGATGTGTGTATTATTAATTTATGCCCATCTACTTTAATTTCATTCTATCACAGCATAAGCATTGTACGATGAAAAAATTGTTTTGTATTTGAACAATATTGATATATTGATTGATACAATATATGCTGTAATAGGACGAAATGGAATAATAACAAATTAACCCAAGTATGTTTTGTTTGCATTAAACTGTATCAAGCAAACCTGAAGAGTATGATGAAGCCATAAGTTTCTAAAGCCATTCCTATTACAGGCCACCCAATGATAACAAACAAGAAGCCCACACCAAAAGAGATTGTGCCCTGTGCAACCAATCAAGCATAAGCTAAGGGAGGGAGGGTTTGTTTGGTTTATAGAATTTTTTTCAGAAGGAATTCAATCTGTTAAATGTATTGGAATCATAACTGTCAGAAACAGAATTGATTTTTAGCAATATAACTTCCTAACATTTTAATCCATATACAAATATTATTTGTTGATTCTAGGAATGCTAAAATCCATCAAACATGGTGGAATTTTAAGGATTCCAATCCATCCATCTGGCAACCAGATTTGAGAACCAAACACACACCTTAACTAAAATTATGAAAGGGAAGTTGGAGCACCTTTAGGTTGCTTCTCTTCATGAAGAACTGCAAGGAGGACTTGATTCCAATGGTAATGATCACCCCTGAGATGAATAGGATCTGGTTCAGTACCCCACAAATGACTTTAATGTCAGAAGTTGCCAACTCAACCTCATCAGCAAATAATAATATATATATATATATATAATATATATATATATATATTATTATATATATATATATATATATATATATATATATATGCAGACAAAGATACAAGAGAATCCAAGGACTCAAAGACACTAACATTTCCAATGGCAAGTAGTCCCTTGTCGAAGAAGAAAATGATCCCCAGAAATGAGAAGAAAACACCAAATCCAGTTAATCCCAGTCCAATTTCTGTTTCATTTAAGATAAAAAAAAACGCTTTAGTAAACTTACAATAATAATCAAACTTATCAGTGTTTTTGTAAAGAAGATACCAATGGAACTATTTAGGCTGCGTTTGTTACACAGGAAAAGAGTGACTTCTAGGGCTATCTTTGATGATGGGGATGAGGGCATTAATGTCTTTTGCACAGACAAAAGATCGATACTAATAAGTTGCAAATTTTCACCCCATTGCCATGATTGTACGATTGAGCTAAAACTAGAGAATTAGTCATATTTGTTGGCATTCAATCTCATTGATATGAAAACTCAGTGTAAGCTTTGATGTTGCTATTATCCTGTCCCTATTCATATTTGTTAGCTCTAGATAGTATTGTTGACAGGGTTTTGGACCAAAGTTTCTAAAGGTATTTAAACAGTTTGTAAATCCAGCTTAAACTTTAATGTAAATCTTCTCTAGTCTTCACAACTTTCTGCTAAAAATATAATAAGTAGAATCTGAACTCTGTTATCACCAATAACCTAACTTAATTCGCTTAGTTTATGAAGTAATGGACTCCAATTTCTTTTAACAAAAGAAAACCAAAAGCCTATAGCAACTCCAAACTTACTATTACAAGTTTACAACAAGATCAACATTCTTACATTCATTTTCTTAGTGTCCATAATAGGATTTACAGATTTACAAGAAACATGGACAGATGAACTCAGGACCAATATTTTGCATTATAACAAAATCAAAGTTTGATAGCATGTCATCTGGCACTGCATATATAGTAAATTTGGGATTATAACATGCCAATTATAATATCACACAACAGTTCATGACTAAAACATAATTTACAAAAGCTAAACAACGAAACCAATATAGCACAGCAGTGTAAGATCATAAATCCAGAAAAAGGAAAATATAAATGAAAGAAGGCCTAAAACTCACTTTTCCAGTCGTTCATCTCTAGGCCAGCCATGATGCTTAAGCAGATACAAAATTCTCCAACTTCCAAAACCGATCCTCAAAAACTGAACCAAAAGAAAAATACATTTTACTCAATAAACTTACGTAAACTACAAAACGACTTAATTATACTAAATTAACAAAAATGAAAACGTTTTGGTTCTTAAATCTCAACTGATTTAGGTCAGCCAGTCAGTATGGGGGTTTAATGGCCAAATTTCAGCAGAATTAAGATCCGGAATAGTTTAACCTTCCTAAATCGAAGGATTCACTAAGCAAATGAACTAAAAGTATATGCGTACTCGAGAAACGATGTGACATCCAATTCGAAAGTAAAAAGACAAAAACAGATATACAATTGATTTCAATTCAGAACTCGTAGATATAAAAAGAAAGAGGATAAACCTGCTATATGCCTATACAGAGCGAAGAGAAGAGAGGAGCTCGAGCAAAACGGAGATATAATAAGGCTATGGCTGAATTACTGCTTTAGCGTGTGTGACAATTGGGGAAGAAATCGGTTTTGCATCAATGTTCTGTTTTTGAAGTTTAAGCTGAATGAGTAATAGCTATTCTAGTCCCTTTACGTTTGATCTTTAGACAACTTTAGTCCTTGAGTTTTATTTTCTTAATTTATGGCACTAGGCTTTTCAAGAATCTTGGTTGATAAGTCCTCGAATACGTGGGTCATGATAAGTATTTACTAAATTTTATTTTGGAGGAAATCAAATCTATATTGTCCATTCATTAATTTTCAGCTTATCGGGACCAATAACTTTTTGAATATTCAAGAAAATCCTACCGCTCAATAAATAATAAAGACAAGCCAAAACTTATAATACAATAATAAAAATAAATCTATCCAGGCCAAATCTCAAATGATGGAACTATATTGCCCAGTCAAAAAAGACGTTTGCAATTTTGTGTAAATATTTGTATTTATGTTGATTTTTATATTAAATTTTTGTTTATTTTATGTTAAATTTTATATTATTTGAAATAACAAAAAATGAAAACGAATAGAAAATACAAATCTATTCATGTTTTCTAATTTGCTAAAATAAAAAATGAAAACTCGGTAAGTTTTAACCAAATACATTTTCTAAATTTCTACTGAAACACGTAAATGAAAACTACGCTACTTTTTCTGAAAATTTTTTCCAAAAAAATAATAATAATTTTCTAGAACCAAATGCACCCAATACTTTGAGTTTTTTCTTTTTAATTTTATATGTATCTTCTTAACTTATAATTTTGAATTGTTTGGATTTTTCTTCATTTTGTATTTTTAACTTTGATTTCACTTTAAAATTGATTTTATTTTGTTTTAAGTAAATTTTAAATGATTTAAAAGTCAAGATAGTTATGCGTTTTTCTATTTCAAATATCCACTTTTATGTTGCAATAAAAATAACCCCCAGATTTTAACCCATAATGTTGATCTGTGTTGAGTTGACAATTGTTGATGATTTGGAACCCTATGTGGCAAGTGAATTAGTCATGTTTTCTTTACATTAGAGCATCCACAATCTATTGAAGTCTATAGAGTTCAATGGATTGTTATATCATCCATTAAATAGATATTTAACTTTACTTTTAACACCCACAAACCATTAAAAACATATTCAATCCTAATGACCACTTTATACACATTCAATCCTAATCATGATTTTGTTCTCTCTATTGAACCCCTATTGAAGAGTTGAATGATCATTCAAGTCCTCTATTCAACTCTACTTCATGTCATCACCCACACTCTATTGAACACTCATTCAATCCTAGTCGCCACCTTATTCAACTCGTATACAACTTCACTTAGGATGCCCTTAACCAAGCAACCTTATTATTTGTTGTCTCCAAGGGTTCGCTCTGGTTTGTTCTATGTTTCCTCTAAATGGATGTTGATGATGTGCTTAGAAGTTTAGCTGATATAGTTTAAAGTGCTTGTTTAACTTAATAATTGTTTGTACTTATCATGTCATTTTAATTGTTTTTTTTTTTCAAAAATGGAATTCTACTTAAATGAACGGAAATGCAAAACAATATGTATGTAAAGTGTTATCGATGGGTTTGTATAAGTAGAAACTGTCATATACATATAACTACTGCAAGACGGTTTGGAGCTTAAGTACAATTTACAATAAATGTATAAAGTAGTATATTATCATGTTTTACAAGATTCACCACTTCAAAGGCTCCATAGGCTTCAAACTTTGATCTTGATTAGAACCCAAGTCACTTGACTTTTGCTTCTTTACTTCACCCTTCTTTTTCTTGCCAGAAGATCTCATAGAAGATCCTTCAACTGAGAAAGCAAGATCCAAGTGAAAACAGAGGGACAAAATCCAATAAAAAAATAATTGAAAAAAAAAAGCGTTTTTCCCATTAAAAGTTGTGTGAACAAAATATTAAAAAAAGTTATTTGAAGAAATGGAAAGAAAAAAATAAATGGGGACATTTGAGGAGTTAAGTTAACGAGGAAAACCCTATTTTCTCTGATATTCACTATCAAGTTATTCTTTCTACATTAAGTTAAAAAATATACTTATATATAGCTTTACCAGATTAACGACTGTTTATTTTTTCACAAAATATTGTTTGTATAGATGATGTTCACAAAATGTTTAAGAAAAATGACAGCACACTTGGAGAAACAAGGGCAATTTATTTTAAAAAATGGGACTTTATGAGGTAAATGCCATTTCTTAGACTTTCTCTATGAAGTCGATTCTTTTGGCATCAAGTAAAAAAAAAAAAAAAAAAAGTCATATATTTTACCATATTAAGTCCTATTCTTATCAAGTCTATTAAGTAAAAACGAAACACGACCTAAGACAGTTTAGTGTCCCTTATGATGGGCATTTTAGACATTTGACTAATAGTAATAATGCAACAGCAAGGACATGAATGTATACCTTGCCATTCCCACACAACCTTAGGTTCACCCTTTAACATTTTTGGATACCGGTCTAAACGAGAATCTTCTTGAACCAATTCCTCAACCTATAAAGAGACAAACAAGCATTTGAAAAATAATAATAATAATAATAATGCATGTAGTTTAAATGATACATTACAAAAACTCAATTAAACATCCTATGTTCCTAACATCACTTTTTGTTTAGTTGTCTCTTCTACGCGATTTCTAATTTTTGGGCTAAATGCAAGAAACAGAAATGTACCTTCGAAAACTTTTTATTATAGCATTGTACTTTCATATTTATAGCAATTGGTGAGCTCCTACCTTTTAAGTACAATGCCTGCCCTAATAAGAAATAATGTGGATGTACAATGTTGCAATAAGAAAAACTGAAAGTAGAATGTTATAATAAAAAATATGGGAAGTATATCCGAGAGAGAGAGAGAGGGAAGAGAGAGAGAGAGAGAGAGAGATAAGAATACCTTTTTCCATAACATGGGATTCCTTCTTTCTTTGGGTGTAAGGACATTATCTCTTAACCATGAAGCAACTATCCATGGTTCACCTTCTCCTTCACCATTTATGCTCCTTGAAACTAAAGCAGCCTCTTCAAGTGTGTCACACACCTATTTCATTGTGGTTTTACAAATTTCAATATACAAAAATCTTAGCTAGTAAAGTAAATGACTAAATGCAATAAATAGCAACAACATACATCCTACTTCCATTTCTTTGTATTACAGCATTATAGTACTTTCATTTTCTTCTTATGAAGGCATTTTCTTTTGAAATAACTAGTCAATCATAGAGCATTGTACTTTATTTTTTAGACAAAAATCTACCCAATTATAGCAGTAAAACGGTTATGTATTTGTATATGATGAATTGATGATAAATGGGTAAAATTCGCCAAACTACAATGTTGTAATAAGAAAAGTTTAAACTAGAACGCTATAACAAACAAATCAATGGGAAGTAAAGTACATAATAGCCATTTCTTGCATTTAACTCGATATAATAAGACTACATGCCAACAACTGAATCATGATTAGTTACGGTTGTTTGCACCTGTTCGTAAAGCTCTTCAGCCCTAACTGACAGGTAATGTCTGTGGCAAACTCTTAACAGCATCCATACACACCCTACGAGCTGCAAAAATCTAAGTAATGTCATAAACTTGAAAATGTGAGACTCAATTAGCTTTCATTACATACCAATACACAAAATGGTATTAGGAACCAAGCATGCTCCAAAAGCCATAGTCGAACGCAGCAGCTTAGGGGCTTATAGTGCTCCACTAGCAACTCCGGACACTTAAACTCCTTGATTCTACATCAAGAAATAAATAATTAACAGATGGGGAGTGCCTTCAACTTAATTCTTAATATTAAATAAATATAGCCTACCCAATGTTACTATCTCTCATCTCCAACAAATTATCAACAATATCCATTGCTCTGTTCTTTGCAAACAGATAGGTGGCGTTGTCCTCTGCCAGCTTCACTTTATCCATATTATTCCACAACTCATCCCCGGGAAACTGTAATCAAATGGCAAATTAGGTCACCAAAATCTCGCTACAAAGTTAAGGTGGATATGAACAAGAAACGCACCCAGACTTTGTTGATTCCTTTGCACAAGTACTCAGAATATGATTCACAGACATGAGATTCTACCATTTTTGCCTGCATCAATATATATCATGTTATCTTTACATATTAAACATTTCAGAAGCAAAGTTACAGATATAACATCTTTTTTCTCTTCAACCCTTACGTGATGATTAAAAAGTACCCCCAAGACAAGTGTTCACTCACGAGATTCTTAGCCATTTCATTTATACTTCCATCTTCTAGACATGATCTCCCATGTCTTGTATAACCACTTGTGCATTCCAATTTGCCTTCATAACATATGCCATGTCTTGGGCAAGGATCACAAACCTCTGAAAAAAAAAATAGTAAAAGCATAAGATGTAAGATGCAACTATTCCAGATGAGTATGGAATAGTTGCATCTTTAAGCTTAGCTTTTTCATGAAGACACATTTTGCACCATGCAGATATGCAGTTGAAAGAATATTGGAGAAATTAATAATCATTAAGAGAGGTTTAACCTAAGTTTCTACAAAAGGGTTATTCTTCTAGCAACCCCTCAGCTGTCCCACACCACCACAACAGCATCATGTGAGATGTACACAGTGACCCACTAGGAGTGGTGGAATTAAAACTCCCACACTGCGGTTGCTGAGACTCAAACCCTTACCTGTTTGTGCAAGATTTAACTCCCAAACAATTGATATAAAATTTGAAAGAACCTTTCAGCATGCAAAAAAACAGAAGCCCAAAAAGATTTTGGGTAACTCCCATTGTTTGAAACCACACAGAAATGCAGAGGTAGCACATTTGATAAAACTAATACAGAGACTAAATGTTGATGGAAAAACATGAACAACATCTTGTCTCGTGCGCTACCCTTAGATCACTCATGCATTTTAAGCTAAGCGTATAACCAACTTAAATGCCCAAAATTTCAAGGAATGAAGTGCATTATGCACTCTTCAACTTTATACTTGAACCTGGATACCAATTAAAACGATTAACGTAAAGTCAATATACTTCTCCTATCTAGCGCTCCATCCACTCTGAGAAGAGGTTACAAATCGACTTTATTGAGATGAATTCTAAACCTTCGACAAAAATATGCTAACTACACTGGAGCTAGCAACTAGAAAAATGCCGCTGGGAAATTGGCTACGAACCCCATAGAAGTGACACCAAAACTCAAATATAGCTTTCTTTTCTATGGAATCGATGGAATGAAGCATTAAGACAAACAGCTAATTAAATAAATAAATAACATTTACTCGTGCATAAATTACAAATACAGCGTTGCTCACCAGAAAGATAATAATCCGATTCCGAATCAGTATCGCAAAACGGCTTTGGCTGACGATTGAAAAACTTGACGACAAGGTTGCAGGCTACTGCAACAGAGACGGCGATAGATACGACGGCGACGAGCTTAAATATCTCCGTCTTGGACGGTAGTAAGCTTGGTGGCGGTTCAATTGAAGATAAAACTCGCATGGGAGAAGGAGGAAGAGAAGAAGAGGATGAGTATTTAGGGTTTCTGATTCGCCTTTTAGGAGTAGAAGCCATTGTGATCTTGATCGCTGTAACTTGCCTTCGAGAGTTAGTTTTTACAAATATATTAATTCACATATATATTATGAACAGTAACACCGATTTTTCAGACTGGGTTTTGGGTTTTAGTTTTGAGCCGATAAGCTGAGTGACCGCTAATATCCTTCGATCCGTCTTCTACACTTGTGTTATCCTCACATCTCTCTTCCCCTTTTTCCTATACCAAAGTAGATTAACCTCGGATAATCGTCTTCATATGTCGATTACTTTTCTTTTCTCTACCAAACATCTGTCATGATCCTGTGCACCGCTTTCCGCATTCCTGATGGTTGCTGGAAACTCCAATTTTTGGTGGTGTTATGTTACAACGATGCTATCCAAGAAAGCCCTAAAATCGATTTCTCAAAGATGGTTACCGTTAAATGTGACTCGAGCATTTGGAGAATTTTCATGGAGCATTTAGCACTTAGATCTCAACGGAACACTTGAGGTTCATGGAAAATGTGACAAATGAACGTATCATCTGAGATGACTTTGGATCATTAGACAAAGGAACGGATCAAGTGACAAAGAAACAAATCTTCCAAAATGGGGTTTGGAGCAACTTGGAGTGGCTTGGAGCAACTTGGAGTGGCTTTGAGCAACTTGGAACACTTAGAGCGACTTTGAGCAACATGGAACATCATGTTGTGCCATGTAGAAGGAAGTTGTGCCATCCTTGGGATGTTGCGCCAAATGATAGCATGATGCGCCATCATGTCTGAAGTTACGCCAAGGTGATGTTAAGCCAAGGAGATGTTAGGACATGAAGATGACGTTGCCCCATCAAGAAGGGAAGTTACGCCATGGAGGAGATGTTGTGCCATCATGGACCATCTTGGTACATGATGCGCCTTGCATGGCGGAATATGATTGGTTGTCACCATTCATGGTCCTATGGGCCAATGGGCTTGGCCCATTAGGGTTTTAGGACTGATCCCTCAAGTATAAATAGGGATGCATGTTAGGTCATTTTATATCTTGAATTCTAAAGTGTTAGGCGAACCTCTGTGAAATTTGTACTTGTAACCTCTGTTTGAGAGCTCTAAAATAAAGAATACTCCTCTCCTGCCCGTAGACGTTGGTTACCTTGACCGAACCACGAAAATATTGTGTCTTGTGTGCTTTTGGTTTTGCTAGTTATCTACTTTAATTCCTAACAAACGGTATCAGAGTTGCGGTTTGTATTTGTAATGCCTCAAAAATCAAAGCAAAATTTTCATTTTTAATTCATAAAACGTTATTCATAAATCCAAGTCATCACGAAATTATACATTTTTATTAAAGTAATATCAGAGTATCCCAAAATCCACAAAACATTGTAAGCCGGCAAATGTGTACAATCATGCCTCCGTCTTCCCGGAATCTACAAAGTACCTGAAACACAATTAAAATCAACACGGTAAGCACGAAGCTTAGTGAGTTCCCCAAAATACCACATACACGTATAATTAGTCTCTCATGGCTAAATCTTGATAAGGACCCTTTGGTCATGTGTCTTAGTGAAGACCCTCCGGTCTCACGTCTCAGTATGGACCCTCCGATCATAACTCAGTATATACACATAAATAATATAACAACATAAGTCACAAAGACAGAATGCATAATAACACATATCTCAGTATAAGCAAATAAGACCCTCTGGTCAATAATACGAATAAGACCCTCCGGTCAATAACACGAATAAGACCCTCCGGTCACACATAAATTACCACACAGGTAAGTATAGTGAGAAGACTCACCTCAACCGCTACGCGAGTAATCCTACATTGTCGCTGCTGCTGCGAAATGGCTCCCGAACTGAGCTAAACAACCCAACTCCATAATCAATAACTAAGCAAGGCTAAACCCCAACACTAGGCCCAAAGATGGCCCAACTAACTAGGCCCATTAATAACCCAAACCCATTGGGCCCACCAAGGCCCAAGACCAAAAGATCCACAAAGGTCCACTAATGGCCCAATTTTCCAAATTAGGGCCAAACCCTTACTTGGGACTTACCCTAAAGCCCACTACTTAACCCTAAACCAAAACACACATTCTCTGATGGCCCAATAAAGCACTAAGCAACCATGCCCCAAGAAGATAGCCCAACTACGCAAACCCACTCAGACAGAATACGCGGGGCGTACAAGCATGTACGCGTAGTGTACTCGCTTGAAGGCTTGTACGTTGCGCGTACCTGCTTGTACGCCCAGCGTACTCACCTTATCTAGCCCAAACCTCCTTTCCACTGAATCCATTAAGACAAGGCTTCCCAAACCACATATTTGACCTCCTTGAGCTGGAATATCACGTAAAGTTGCCAACTTTACGTCCACATATAACCAAATAAAACTCTTAAGCTAGAAAGGGACTTAATGTGAATTAATACATGCATGACCCCATAATACACATAAAGTTTGCATCTTTATGCTCAAAGATACCAAAACAAACTCAGATCTGAAAGGATGAACCTTTAAACAACTTAGTTCATCCATTAACTCAAAAAGAAGGCCAAAAATCACAATAAACTAGCCATGAGGAGATCTAATCATACACAAGACAAGATTAAAACTTGATACCTCAAATGGCTTCCCCACAAGATGATGCCTCTGGATCTAAGGTCACTCCACCAAGCCAAGCAACTTCAAACTCCTCTTCTTTCCTTCCCAAAAGCATAAAAGAGCACCAAATCCTTCCAAGAACTTAAGAACACCCTCAAGAGGCAACAAAGTCGATTTAGGGTTTCTAGGGTATAGAGGCTGGCTTGGAAATGAAGAAAAAGGACTAACATGATGCTTATATAGGGTACAACCCTAAAAATTAAGGTTTTCAACCTGCTCCTCGTACGCCCAGCGTACCTCCTCATACACCCAACGTACGAGGTCTCGCACCCCGACCGAACTTTACCTCTACGTTGCGCGTTCCTCCAGTTATGCCTTGTGTAACCTTCCTCACCTCGGTACGCCCTGCATACCTCCTTGGTACGCTCCACGTACTAGGGTTTTCTCCAAACCCTAAACTATCCGAAGACCATAACTTTCATGATACAACTCTGATTTTGACCATCCCTATATTCATGAAAATGTATCGAGACGCTTTGCACTATTATCAACTCATACCAGCCATAAGGTATTCCGAACAACATCCCCCTTTCCATAAAAGCCCCGCTGATAAATTACCAAAATACCCTTTTTTGTTCCAAATCACAACCGAATACCCGGATCATCCAATACAACATCCACCTCCCAATGAGCCCAAAACTAACTTCTTCAAGGATTCTAACCTTGCTAATACCCAATCCTTGATCACTATTCCGAAATGAAAACGACCTGAAACAGGATGTTACAATTCTCCCCCACTTAAATTACATTTCACCCTCGAAATCGCTCTTTACCAACCCTCAGATCATATCAAACAACCCGAGAAGTGCAACCAAAAATTAGAACATAAAACGATCTCCCCAAGATAACTGAACCCAATAGAAACCTCCAACCTGAAGAAGAACGAACCTTTTGCCGCTGCAGAACTACTTCTGCCTCTCCAATCCTGAAATCTATATTGGTCTAACTCCCCGACAGACCGCCCATGTAAAACATCACCATGACAAACCCTCATTGAATAACAGACCAAACAAAACGCTTCCAACTCTGATTATCTTGATGCGACTGATGGAAACAAGTCATTGACCATAATCAGCTGCAGAACACTTATGCTCGACATACGAGTTGATCTTGACCGAAATGCAAAAGAAACGGAGGGATCACCATACACCGAAGACCAACCACCTATACTACTATAAAAACCCATCTGAAGAATGAACCTTAATACTTTGCCCTCAGATATTAAAAGAATAACCTGCCGATCTGCATGGAAGTTGATGATGCATTTTGAGCATTCTAACACTCCTAAGGTGTACATGCAACCCTAAATACATTGGATCTATGTTTTTCTCTATTATACATGCAACTATCAATTTTCCAAGGTATTATCTTAACTAGCATATTATGAAGTACAAGTAATATAAAATCTAGTAGAATGACATACCTCTTTGTTGTAGCTTGATTCCATGGAGCTTAAGAGCCTAGTGCCCCAAGTGTGACACCTCAAATGGTTTACACAACATCACCAACATCTTGGAATAACTTGAGAGAAAAGGTTCTTATGCTCAAATCGGCTAGCCCTCATACATGTGTATCACTTGTGCCAATTTTGTGAACCAAGGACTCCTTTATATACTATGGAGGATTAGGGTTACATCCATGTAAACCCTAATACCCATGACCTTTCATTTCATAGGATCCATGGGTTAAACACTCCATGGACTATCCATGAAAGCTTAGCCCAACCTACATGAACTTGGACCACCATATGTATAAAAGAGTCCATATTTACCTAGCCTCTTTTGATCACTAAATTAATTCCAAATTAATTCTTGACCAATACTAATTAAATAATATGATTTCATATTAATATATTAGTACTTATAATATATTAAATATAAATCATAACTAACCTTTTCTCACAAAAGTCTATCCAAATGTCCCGATGCCATGCAACCCAAATGGACCATGCCAAGTCGGGTCGAATACATACCAATAATAGTTATGGGCTTAGACATCTAATCCAACAGTCTCCCACTTGGATAAGTCTAAAACTATTATTGTACATGACTCCAAAACCCGACTAGCAATCGTAGCTCTTAAAGTCGCTGCCGTACTCTGAACAAATCAATGATGCGTCCATTAGATAAGGGATCATATATTCCTCCATTCTAGATATCATATGGACTGCGACATGGATTATAATCATTCTCTCTGTCCATTTGTTGTTTCCCAATTTCCGATTTATGACGACCGACTAATTGAACAAATCAAATCAGTCCAGGCTTGGCCAAACAATTAGGGGTGGTATCACTAAATCATCGAGGGGCCCATAGATATCGCTTTCATCCCTACAAGGGTAAAAGGAATGGATAAAATTTGACTCATATGCTTGTTCTACTACTTGTTGAATCATACACAAAGGCACATTTTATAACATCGAGTTACCAATGTGTTTTCATGCAATCAATGTATAACCAACTCATAGTCTGCAACAACTCATATCTCTAGGTTTGAAGAATATAAGATATTATCGTCTCATGATTCACTCGTGATAAAATACATGAAGTGATTCAAATGAGCGTGGGGTTGAATCCAATACTCGAATCTCATTCCAGGAGCACTCATGAATGTTGTAGCAACTCTTGCTATGTCCAACACCTTAGACATCTATAAACCCAATTCATGACAGTCTTGCCTTAATACCTACTTCCAACGTATTATCGATTGTGGATGGTTTGAATAGCTTAGTCATTCGGGAAGAAAGACGTAGTTATTTTGGAAGTCAAAACATGCAAAGCGAAACACAAGAGTAATCGAATCCAATACGGTCTCAGAACTTATGAATATAAATAGAACACCTTTTATTTATCACCATATTGATTACACATTATTCATTGTATAATGTTTCAACTAATCAACTTTATACTTGAATCAAAACAATAGTCATCCCATG